GTGCAGGCAATACATGCATACACATAAAAATAACACGTTTTTTTAAAAAAGAGTATTCATTTCCTCCATAAATAGCTGAGTATTAGGCCACCATTCCACAGTAAGAAACAGTCAATCTCTTGATGAACTGAGTCTCTGTACCTCATATTGCAATAAAAATACACAGTTTTATACACTATGGGCTAAAGAGTGAGACTCTGTCTGAAATAAGGTAAGATAAAATAGAAGAGCTAGGGGTTACATAAGGCAGAGGCTGACCCCGGAACCACTCTCTGCCTTCCTGTCTGACGTGGCCCTTCCATTTCACCTGTGCTTACCATGATATCCTCCTCCACTCGAGTCTCACCAGAGGCCAAACCAGTGGGCTGCCTGATCTTTGGCTTCTAAAACATGAGCTCAATAAACCATCTTTCTATAAAAGTACCCAGCTTCAAGTGGTTTTTTTCTATAGTAATGAAAGACATGAGCTGATATGTAGCTTAGGTTACCCAGCATGCACTGAGAGTGTGGATGTGGGCTTCAGAGAGGTGGGATAGGGAGTACCCATGGGTCTAGCCTCAAGGGAGAGGGCATTATCCATATGTACGGCTTTTGGTGACTCTCAGGTTACATCTCAAAAGAAATCTTTTTTAATTCTTCTCTCTCTTTTTATAAGGCAAACACATGAGGTGGCCCAGGAGATGCTTTGGTTAGAATTATAATCTGTAAGATAAAACCAGAACCAGAAGGATTGTACAGGGTTTTAACACATGTCCTTTCACATAAATGGGGTTTCCAGTGAGACTCAGAAAACTGCAGATTTATGGCTGGGAAAGGAAAAGGGCCTCAAGCAGTTGTTAATTTTACTAGAATTCTTTTGGGGGGTGGAGGGAGTTGAGACTGGGTCTCACTGTGTAGCACTGGCTGACAGTAACTCATGCAGACCCTAACTTGTGATCCTCCTGCATCAGCCTCCTGACCATGCCTGACTTAAAAATGTATTTTTTGAACATTTTATTTATTATTTTTATTTTCTGTGTATGTGTGTATTGCCTGCCTGCCTGTAGGTAGGTGCACCTGTGTCATGCAGTGCCTGAGGAGGTCAGAAGAAGATATCAGAGCTCCTGGAACTGGAGTTACAGATGGTTTTTAGCCACCATGTGGATGTTGGGAATCAAACTCAGGTCCTCTGCAAGAGCAGCCAGTGCTCTTAACTGCTGAGCCATCTCTCCGGCCCCTATTTTTATCTTATTTATCTTTATGTATTCAAAATTTTATTACATTATTTAATTTTTGTGTGTGTGCATATTATGCATGTGCCACAGCGTACTTGTGGAAGTCAGAGAGACCAGGCTGACCTCAAACTCACAGTGATCTGCCTGCTGCTGCCTCCCAAGTTCTGGGATTAAAGGCTTATGCCACCACACCTGGGCTTTTATCTGTTATTTTTATTTATTTAAATATTTTTATTTTATTTTTAAAGATTTATTTTACTTTTATGTGTATGAATGTTTGCCTGCATGTATGTATGTGCACCAAATGAGGGCCTAGTGCCCATAGAGGGCAGAAGAGGGCATTGGATCCCCTGGAACTGGAGTTACAGATGGCTGTGAATTACATGTGGGTTCTGGGGAGCTGAACAGAGATCCTCTGCAAGAGCAGCAAGTGCTCTTGACTGCTGAGCCACCTCTTCAGCCCCTGTTATTTTTAAAGGCTGAGAGAAAGTCTAAATTACATGTAAGCAAGTGCTGATGAATGTAATAACAAGAGAACTTATCCTAGCCTCTTGGTAGGGTGTGGGGGGGATTGTAGTTTCCCATGACCAACTTGAGTTGTTTTGGGACAGACACAGGTGAACAGGGTGCACATGAGTCTCAGAGACCTGCCAAGCTGCCCTACCCTATCTTCAGAAGGCCTATGGCTCAGGCTGATGCCACCTTGGGAAAGGTCTCTCTCTCTCTCTCCTCCATCCCTACACACACACACACACACACACACACAGACACAGACACACACAGACACACACACACACACACACACACACACACACACACACACAGCTGCCCTTTAGGTTGACTCCTCCTGCAGCTGTCTGTTCACTGCCCTGAGCTGTCAGCTTCCTCCAGTCCTCCAGATTCTCCCCACCAAAACATAAACACCTCCAAGTGCTGGGATTAAAGGTGTGTACCACCACACCCGCCTTTATTTATTATTTGTATTTTATATGTATGAATGTATTACCTGCATGTATGTAAGTGCACCTGTGTTGTGCAATGCCTACAGAAGCCAGAAGAGGGTGGGATCCCTTGGAGCTAGAGCTAAAGATGGCTGTTAGCCACCATGTGGGTGCTGGGAAAAGAACCTGAGTCTTCCAAAAGAACAGTCAGTGCTCTTAACTGATGAGCCATCATCTCTCCAATCCCCACAAACACCTTATTGCTCCCCTCTTAGTCACATGTGATCCAGTTCTCCAACCCCAACCCAGCCGCTGCTCAGGTGCTGCCCTAGGAGTAAAATCCCCAACACAGTGGAGGGCTCCCTCTGCCTCTACATCCCACCTTCTCCTTTTCAAATCCTCAGTCTCTGTATGGATTTGTTAGGTCTCGTTCTGTCACTGTCTCGGGGAGGAGAGCTGAAATCTCCAGTCGTAGAATCCTAGGCCTGCTTCTGTGAACTTTCGCTTCATGTCTTACAGGTATTGGTTACAGCACATTTAGAATTAAGTCTCTTGATGAACAGACTCTTCTCCTTATGAAATGCCCCTTTGTCTCTAGTAATGGTCTTTGTTCTGAATGTGCCTTGTCCGATGTGACTGTAGCGACCCTGGCATTCTTTGGGTAGCATTTGGTGACTCCTCCATTCCTTCATTTTCTCCCTTTTGATGTCTGTGTACCTAATGAACACACAAAATGGGTCTCTTTCTTAAGTCTCATCTGAAATCCTCTGTCTTTGTACTGTTTAGTCTATTTATGCTAAGTGTAATTACTGACATGATTGGGTTTATCATATTTTATATGTCTTATTTATATATTATGACTATGTACTATTTTGACGGTTTTTAGTTTTTATATAAACACCTTGTGCTGGATAGCTTTAGTGTCAACTTGGCACACCTGGGTTGAGGGAGCCTCAATTGGGGAATTGCCTCTATTGGACTGGCCTGTGGCCATGTCTGAAGGGCATCTTCTTGATGAGTGATGTGGGAGGGCCCCGCACACTGTGGGTGGTGCCACCCCTGGGCAGGTGGGCCTGTGTTGCACAAGAAAGCAGGCTGAGCAGGGGCCAGGAGAGCTAGCCAGTAAGCAGCGTTCCTCCATGGCCTGTGCTCCAGCTCCTGCCTCTAGGTTCCTACCCTGAGTTCCTACCTTGGGCTCCCTGATGAACTGCATGGGACCTGGGAGATGTAAGACAAATAAACCCTTTTCTCCCCAAGTTGGTACTGGTCAGAGTGTTTTGTCACAGCAATGAAGAACAAACTAAGACACACCTATATATATAGGGGGGTGTGAGACAGGGTTTTACTATGTAGCCCAGGCTGGCCCTGAACTCCTCCTATCTCACCTTCCTTAATGCTAGGAATATAAATGTGTATTACCACACCTTGGATTAAGTATATTTAGAAATATTTAAGAATTGTTTTCTTAGTCAGGCATGGTGGCATATGCCTTTAGTCCCAGCACTCTGGAGGCAGAGGCAGGGAGAGCTCTGTGAGTTCAAAGCCAGCCTGGGCTACATATTGTGAATTCCAGCCTAGCTAGGGCTATATAGTGAGACCCTGTCTCAAAAAGGAAGTGGGGTTGGAGAGATGGTGCGGAGCACTTGCTGCTCTTGTAGAGGACCAGGGTTTGATTCCCAGCACCCACATGTCAGCTCAACCTTAACTCCAAAAGTTGCAACACTGTGGGTGCCACATTCATGTAGTATACATGCATATATGCCAGCAAAACATTCATACATGTGAAATTTAAATTTTTTTAATTTTTGGTCTTTTGGAAACAGGGTCTCCCTATAGCCCCGGCTGGCCAGGAACTTACTATGTAGACTAGGCTGGCCTTGAACTCACAGAGATCCGCCTGCCTGTGCCTCCCAAGTGCTGGGACTACAGGCATGCGCCACCACGCCTGGCGCTTGAAATTTAAATTTTTTAAGAAATTGTTTTCTTTTCTCTTTTGATTTCTTTTCCTTTTGGACCCGAGTTCAATCCTGGGATATATAGTGGAAGGAGAGAACCAACTCCTTAAAGTTGCCCTTTTCCACACTCATGCCGTGACACAGACACGCACACTAAATAAACAAATATAATTTAAAAAATTTTAAAGTATACTTGACCCTTCACGTTGCTCCCCGTTCTTGATGGTTCCTCTCAGGGTTGGCCTCTTTCTTTGTGTGCTTCTGTCTGGGTCAAGTCTGTTCACTTTGAGGTCACACATCCTTCCTTCACATATCTGGTACTAGTACTCAGCCCTTCCGTGAACTCTTCATGTCAGGCATTGTATTTTCAGTACTAGAATTTGCATTTGAAAGTTTGCATTTCTAAAACCAGGCCTGAGCCAGGCTTGGTGGCGCTCACCCTTAATCCCAGAGGCAAGACAGATCTCTGTGAGATGGAGGCAGCCTGGTCTACATAGTGAATTCCAGGCCAGCTGGGTCTACAGGTAGACCCTGTCTCAAAAAGACCAAAAAGAAAAGAAGAAAAAAAATGTATTTTAAAATTTTAAATTGGGGCTGGAGAGATGGCTCAGTGGTTAAGAACACTAGTTGTTCTTGCAGAAGACCCAGGTTCGAATCTCAGCACCCACATGGCAGCTAACAACTGTCCATAACTCCAGTCACAGGGGATCCAGCAGCCTCTTCTGACCTCCACGGGCATTGCACAACATGGGTGCACTTACCTACATGCAGGCAATACACGGAGACACATAAAATAAAAATAATAAATTTTTTTAAAACAATCTCTGCCAAGTTTTTATTAAAGAAAAACTTTCCAGGTTTACTTTTTATCAGTCTGCTCTGGCATGCTTAAAAATATGGAATGCTTTACGAATTTGCATGTCATCCTTGCGCAGGGGCCATGCTGATCGTCTCTGCATTGTTCCAGTTTTAGTCTATGTGCTGCTGAAGCGAGCACAATAAAAATGTTTTAAAATTTATCCTTACGCTTTTTTTTTTTTTTTGGTCTTTTTGAGACAGGGTCTCCCTGTAGCCCCAGCTGTCCTGGAACTCACTATAGACCAGGCTTGCCTTGAACTCATAGAGATCTGCCTGCCTCTGCCTCCTGAGTGCTGAGATTAAAGGCGTGTGCCACCACGCCTGACTTGCAATAAACATTTTTTAAAGGTTTAAAATTTGAAATTATCTACGTGTGTGTGTGTGTGTGTGTGTGTGTGTGTGTGTGTGTGTGTATATATTTGTATATATCCCCTTGAGGGCCAGAGACATCGGATCCCTTGGAGTTGTGAGCTGCCCACAAACAGTTATGAGCTGCCCAATATGGGCTGGAAACTGAACTCCGGTTGTCTCTGAGAGCAGCCACTGCTGTTAACCACTGAGTCATCTCTCAAGCCCTCATAGTTCCTTATGGCAGAAAGATAAGTGTGGTACCAGCTAGTCTACAATGGAAAGAGCCAGAAATTTCTCCTCTGCAACACAGCATTCATCAGCTCCACCATTTCAAAGCCATCAGTGGCCTTCACTGAGAGCCCTTCCTCTCACCACAAATGACGATTCTCTCCATGGCTGACCACACCCTTTCTTCCTGAAGCACTTCCCTCCTACTTAGGTTCCAGGAAGCCATCATTTCTTGCTTTGCTTCCGCCTCCACTGACATCTCTTTTTTTTTTTTGCTTTTTGATGCAGGGTCTCCTTGTAGCTCCAGCTGTCCTGGAACTCACTATGTAGACCAGGCTGGCCTCGAGCTCACAAAGATCCGCCTGCCTCTGCCTCCCAAGTGCAGGGATTAAAGGCGTGCACCACCACACCCGGCCCTGACATCTCCTCTTAAGTCTTGGTTGCTGATTTCTTGTTAGAAGGCCAGAGTTTACAGTAGAGCTCTTCCTGTCCCCAGCCAGCCTCTCTCTGGTTATCTTACAGAGTCCCCTGGCTTAAATGCCATTTATGTATTCAGAGTTTTCAACATTGTATAGCCAGCGTCACTTCTGCCCTGAAACTCACATCTGGGGCTTCAGCTGCCTTCTTAGCTTCTCCCCTTGAAAGTTTGAAGCTGGGCTTGGTGTTCTACACCTGTGATCCCAGCGTCCAGGAGGCAGAGGCCAGATGATCAAGAGTTCAAGGCTAGCCTTGGCTACATAGGGAGTTCCAGGTCAGCTTGGGATACAGGAAACTATCTCAAAAAGGGGAGGGGGGACGCTGGAGAGATGGATTAGCGGTTAAGAGCTCTGACTTTTCTTGCAGAGGACACCAGGTTTAATTCCCAGCATTCACATAGCAGCTAACAACCATCTAGAACTCCAGTTCCAGAGGATCTGATTCCATCTTTTGACTTCCAAAGGCATTGCATAACAAGGGTACACTTACATATATGCAGGCAGTACACTCACACATGTAAAATAAAAATAATAAATACATTTATTTGGTCTTTTGAGACAGGGTCTCCCTGTAGCCCCAGTTGGCCTGGAACACACTATGTAGACCAGGCTGGCCTCGAAGTCACAGAGATCCACCTGTCACTGCCTCCCGAGTGCTGGGATTAAAGGCACGTGCCACCATGCCCAGCTCCAAATAAAATTTTTTTTTTTTTGTCTTTTTGAGGCAGGGTCTTCCTGTAGTCCCAGCTGACCTGAACTCACTATGTAGACCAGACTGTCCTTGAACTCACAGACATCGCCTGCCTCTGCCTCCCGAGTGCTGGGACCAAAGGTGCATACATGGGCATACTCACACAGAAATACACATACATATACATGAATAAAAATAATTTTTTAATCCCAAGCCTTATGTGCCTGAAAGGGAACTCCTGGCATTTCCTTTGGCAGCAGCTCCTCCCTCCATCTTACAATTCTTCCAGTGCTCAGGCCAACAGTTTGGGAGTCATCTTTGGAATTTCCCTTTTACTCAACCCCTACATGGATTCATCAGAAAACCTTGTTAGCTCAACCCTGGACAACCTCCCCGCCGGTATCTCTGTCCAAGATCACTTCCACAGGACTCTCCGAGGATCTGTCTTTGCATCCTTGCTCCCTGGTGCCCTGGGGCCACCAGAGAGGAGCTGAGTGGTCCAAGGACGCAGCAGCAGAATGGTACCCAAGGATCAGACGCAAGTTCAGGATGGCGTCAAGGACACTTACAAGAGGTGGTGAAGCATCCCGCTGTCAACCCTGAGACAGGTGAGCCAGAGTTGCTGGAAAGGTACTGGGTAGAAAAAAACAGTGACTGCTAAACTTCGCCTGGGAGAAAAGAGAGACAGAGAGAGAGAGAGAGACAGAGAGAGAGAGAGAGATCACCAGAGGAATGCCCTAGTTTTATTTCTGTTGTTGTGATAAAATATCCTGACCAAAAGCAACTTAGGGGAGAAAGGGTTTATTTTAGTTCACAGTTTCGGGTTCTGGCCCATCATAGCAGGGAAGTCAAGGCAGAACTTAAAATAGCTGGTCACATCCACAGTCAAGAGCAGAGAGAAATAAACGCAAGCATAGTACTCAGCTCACCTCCTTGTAGACAGTCCAAGACCCAAACTTAGGGAACAGTGCCACTGACAATGGGCTGAATTTCCTCACATCAATTACTGAAATCAAGACAATTCCCTACAGATATGCACACAGGCCAACCTGATCTAGACACTCCCTCAATGACACTCTCTTCCTGGGTAATTCTAGATTGTGTCAAGTTAACAATTAAAAGTAGCTGGACCTGGTGGCGCATGCCTTTAATCCCAGCATTTGGGAGGCAGAGGCAGGCAGATCTCTGTGAGTTCAAGGCCAGCCTGATCTACATAGTGAGTTCCAGGACAGCTGGGGCTGCAGGGAGGCCCTGTCTCAAAAAGACCAAAAAAAAAAAAGTAACTATCTCAGAGCAAATTCTCTTGCTCTCCTGACGCCCTCTGACTTTCTGCCACCGTCTTCCATTAGCTACATCCACAGCTGAAGCAGTCCATGGAGCTATGCCCATGGCAGAGGCAGACTGTGGTGGCCAGCCTTCCAGGGCAGAGGGCAGGTTGGGGAAGGGGATCAGAAGGCAAGTGGGCCGTGTCCCAACCCCTGCTGCTCCTACCACAGTCCATTCTCCACAGAGCAGCCAGAGGGTCCCTGAGCTGTATTGGATGAGGCGGAAGGCAGAGGCACAAGATGGACAGAGCCTGGGTCTGTGAGACCTTAACTGGAGGAGGGCTGTCAGCTACACAGGAGCTCCCACATGGGTTGAGAGAAAGACGAAAACCTTGGTCATGTTAGAGTTACTAGATGTGTGATCACTTAACTGGCTGACCCCGTGCACCCACAGAATGGGTAGCAACAATGTTATATCCACAGAGAGAGATTTAAATAAGGTAGCTTTGTTTAAGGCACTGCTTGAAACCATCATAAATTCCCAGGTCATGACAGCAATTATTACTATTGCCTAGTATCTGAAAGGAATTCGGGGGCTGGAGAGATGGCTCAGTGGTTAAGAGCACTGACTGCTCTTGCAGAGGATCCGGGTTCGATTCCCAGCACCCACAAGGTGGCTACTAACTGTCCGTAACTCCAGTTCCAGGGGAATCCAAAGACCTCTTCTGATCTCTGCGGCACTGCACGACACGGGTGCACTCACATACGTGCAGGCAATACACTCATACACATAAAATAAAAAAAATAAAATATTTAAAAAAGAAAGGAATACAAAGTCATGCCATCTTTTCATGTGCATATGTGTCTGGTATGCATGTGTGCATGCATGTTCACATGTGTGGGGGTACATGTGTATGCAAGTGCATGTGTGTGTACCTGCAGGAGCGGCCTGAGGTTGACGTTGGGACTCTTTTCTAGAGATTATTCAATGAGGCAGAGTCTCTCTCTCAATCAAACCCAGAGCTCTCAGGCACAGCTAGTCAAGCTTGCTCCAGGGATCCCTTGTCTCTGCCTTCAGAAGTCGAAATCACAGGTGATCTCCTCATGCCTACCTGGCATTATGTGGGTTTTGAGGATCCGAATTCTGGTCCCCTTGCTTGCACAGTACAGACTTTAATAGCTAGGCCATCTCCCCAGCCTGGCATCTTTTTTTGTTTGCTTTACTGAGACAGGGTCTCCCTGTAGCCCCAGCTGGCCTGGGACGCACTGTGTAGATCAGGCTGGCCTTGATTTTTTTTCCCAGTACATACCTTGTTTTGGACTTTGGACTGTCTTCTGGAGACAGGTTGGCTGTGGGGGTTATATACCAAAGGGCCACAGCCTTCCCACCCCCACAGCCCCACCCCAAGAGGCATCTGCCCATGTGTCCTTTAGGTAGAGAGCTTGTGCCAAGCCTCCTCATGGGGATTCACACTGTGGCAGTTGGGCTCCAAGATGGCCCCTGCATCTGGGCTGGTGCGTGGCTCTCATAGGACAGAGTACAAGTGGTACTGCTCAGCGCCTTCCACACTTGTGCTTTGGGTGCCAAAGCTACTAACCCTTGTCAGGCTTCCCTGGGGACAGAGTCGAGACAGGGATGGAGAGATAGGCCCAGTCCCTGTGGTGAACTGGTGAGCCCAGCCTTCTCAGTGACCCCACAAAGTTATGAAGTATGTGACCGAGCCCCACGTGGCCACATCCCCACCCACTGGAGCACTGGGCCCTGCCTCTCTAGCAGCTATATAAGGAGTAGAAGTCACCTTGAGATCAGAGGAAGTAAGCAGATGGTCTAAGCCGTCATCAGGATGCCTCTCAAGTGGCAGCAAATACCCAAACAGCTAACCAGGCCAGTCATGAGCCTCAGACCAGGCCAGGCTTGGTGTTCCTTGCTTTGAGAAACCAGGCCCGAAACCCACCCCAATGCAGGACAGCCCAGCCACAGTTCTGTAATGTTGCAACCAGATGTGCACCACTAGCCTGGCTGGCCGGGGTGGAATGCACTGCTGGCTCTCTCTCGGGGAGCCTGGATCCTGCCCCTGGGGGAGAGGCTGAGCTCACTAGCTTTCTCCATTCCTCTTCTTGATTGGCA